TTGTAACAAAATATTTCGTGCTGTGTGTTTAAATATATCAAGTTAAAGTATAGGGCCTTTGGTGTTTTACGCCCGCTCTCATAGACATGATACGACGTCAGTGTCCTATTTTTCTCGTTGATATGAACTTGTTGTTTATTGTGGATTTAACTTCCGCTTCCACTCTGAATGGTATCCCAGACGAACCTTTGTGTTTTAGCTAATTTAGCGCATGCACAGGGGTGTTTCCTGTGAGAAGAAACCGGAGTGCTCGGAGTAAAACCAAGGCACTCATATCTCCAACCCGTTTACGCCAACACCATGGAATGAACCCACGAACGCAAATCAGAGGTGACCAGCGTTCTGAAGCTTAAAGCGCGACCCTATAGCGTTTAACAAAACTGTAAATTTTACAGTGTGTGTACTCTGTAATCGACATTGATACGTACAGCATGCTTTTTATATTCCAGTACAGCTATTATCTATATACCTACATGTGGTTATTTATTGAAAACGACAAGGTCATAATAAAACTAATAAGACCCATATTCTGGTTTATATCTCTAATTGGTCAACTCTGTCGTGTTTAAATTATGATTGACATAATGAGGTACATAGGTCATACAGGTTTTGATGTTTATGTAAAATATGAAAAACGTTGAAGGATATCACTAGCCAGATGTTAGTGAGTATATATTACATTATATGCATGTTGATATATAATATCTATTTTTATTTGGACATAAAATCGCAAACACATTCCAATTGTCCAACAACTTTGATTCTGTCAAACTTTGAAAGATATGATTAATTCTCAAGATGAACCTGGTAATCTGAATTAAATTTTAATTCTTTAATTCAAATATTGAACACAATACACTCTTCACTCGGCTAAGGGATGCTCTTAGACCGCCTATTTGTACCCTATGACTTTAAATAACCGCATTTATGGACCCTTATGGAAAACAATAATGCATATTAATTACCGTTAATATCGACTGCAATTACATTTAAAGTATTAGTATCTAACATATTGAACCGAAGTATGTATTTGAGCAAAAATCTTAGAAACAAATGTAGATACAGAATGGAAATAATTATAAACAATAACCAAATGTTAAAGGAGTTGAACCTGTTCGATTCAGCTCAAATTAAAATGTTGAATTGGGTTGATATGATTTCTATTTTTTTTTTCGAATACTTTATTGTTTGTTAGTTCTATTAATGATTAGAGAGAAAGCCGTGTATAGTGGCCAGTCGATATACGGTGACATTTTCGTTTCGGTAATTAGTGGAGATCTTATCTAAAGACTTAACATTCTGAAGTTGGGTCAAATGGCAACTCACATTAAAAAAACATATAATCAAATCGGCAATTTTATTTTTTTTTTAACCAAATGAAAGAGGGGTGTCAGTTTGATATTTACACAAAAATTGCTAAAGGATAGTACAAACTTAGCTGAATTCAGAACGGCCCTTCGACCCTTAGAGTTAGATATCCGTATCCACATAGACATGCAATAAACGGTTAAAGCGCCTTTTTAACGTTTACATATGACGAATTGTAGAAGGTTTAAATAATTAGCCGATCCCCATACTACGTTTTCTATAGCTACTTTCTGGACTTTAACTTGAACTTTACAACGGAAGACCCATCCTTCACGCTGTTATAATGGTCTTCAACATCTTCTGCAGATGTTTAATGTTCTGTCATGATTGGTACGCCCTTAGTGGGAATTCTCAATGCAGAAATTTGAAAAACTTGATGTAAATTTTAGTTCTTTCTTGATTATGAACTTATATTATGCTAGCTTTAAATAGGAATAACTTCATATAAAGACCACATTGCAAATAATGCAGACTTTAATGTTCTGTTAAAAAGATTTTAGGATTGTCAGCTAATAAATAATGGAATACCAATACTTCCGGTATTAAAACTTCTCAAGCATCTTTGTGTTCAGTTGTTATATCCGTGTAACTGTATATCGACATTAACCCATGATTATACTGAGGTTAGTCAAACCCCCTCCCTTTCACATTAAAATATATAGCACCTTGTGTTATCCCTATACCATACTGGACAAATTATAGACAACCATAATTAGTAAATCTAGCCGATCAACTACTTTCATAAACAAATATTGCAATTAGAATTAAGCCGATTTTGGACCTAGCAACACCCCCTGTGGTCATTCATCAAGGATAGGACTTAGTGGACACAACAATGGCCAAGGGGTTAAAGTCACCACGGAGCACAATAGGTTCATTACAAGGCTTCACGCCCTGAAACAAGGCTTGTCGTATCTCAATCACGATGGTCGTTTGCCTGATCGTAAATCGGCATTGTTTTACCGCAACCTCTTAACCTGTCCTGAGTGGTTGCAGGTGGTGGACACCGAACTGTCCATTATAGTGGACAACGCCATGTAATTATTACTGAGGACCGGACTAATACAATGTCTGATTCACCCATTACTTCATCATCAATAATCAGTGTTCGAACAATTTTAACTTTTGATCAGCTCTTAAGAGTTAACCACGCGATCTATTTTCAACCAATCAGTGCAACAAAAGAGAATTTTTACTCGGATATCGTGATCGGAGATAGAACGTTATGCTGACCATACCATGATATGAGTTATAATAAATAATCAACTTTTCAATTTGAGTTATTATAATTATAGTTCCCGAACAATGTTTAGCAAACCAAGCCCCAGGCAAGCATGGAACTCGTCCTCCAAATCAGCACATCATAAGGTGAACGAACCAAATTAAGAATAAAACCAATCCAATAGATACACAGGATCTTAGAAGATAATCAACGTCTTATGTCCTTAACTAGAGTTATGGTAAATCATCAAGGAAATCTTTCAGTGGTTTTTGTGTGTGATTTGTTTGGATAATCAATAATGAAATTTAGATTCATCCATTCATATATACAAAATTTGATCATTGTGATTATATCTGCGGACGTAAACCCCTAACTAAGTAAGTAAATAAGCCTCGGATATAAGGCGGTTTTAAATCTAGAGCAATATAATAATAATATGTCCATTTATATAGCGCTAAATCCACAAAACGTGCTAATAGCGCATACGAAAACTATATATAAAAGTTCATTGGCTCTAAGTTTTTGTCAATTTCTGTAACGCATTTTGAAAAGATGGTAAGGAATCAAGTTTTTGTACGTTTGGGGCTAAATTTAAAACGCATTTGCATGTCACCCGGATTCGCTATAATCAAATGCACTTGATATATACCTGATTATTCACCGTGTGGAACAGAACGAATGTAACAGTACTTCAAAATTGGACCAATAAAATATCTTAATTTCCAGTTATCTCATACCAAATTATGAATTGACCTTAAATACTGAAATAGTCATTGAAGTAGCCAGCTGACCGTAGTATTATCATGTATAATAATTGGGCCATCAAGTAAGGCAAGGTGTGGGTCACTTGCTCACGTAACGGTTCTGCCAGTTTCCTTTATTTGCATATAAAATGAAGCTATCATATTCCAACACATATGTAAGAGAGGCAATCAAGTACATATATATTCACTTGTCTTCATCAGATACAAGATGACCCTAGCACGAAACACGTTTTATCAGTAGCTGTCTTTAACTCCTTCACAACCATTAAGTTAATTTTGTACAATTTTCTAGAGCATGATATTCTTATTTAATTGACTATGACAATAATTATAAAAGGAACAACTGCAAAAAGGGGCTTTCATGACAAAATCCACTGCCCTTTTAATTGATAAATTTAATTGTTGAACGTGAATCAGACATATCCAACTAACTAGAAGCTCAGCTGACCAAATGACAATCAGAATGGCCAGGCTGTTGGTTTGGATTCGCTTCGGATCCACGAATATCAAACTTTACTATGTTTCTATTGATAGAAAAAGAGCTCACATAACTCCCTATATTACGGTAATAACTTTGTTTGTCCTCCTGTCGGAACGCGATTCTTGCACAATCAATACGAAATTAGATTTAGTAATACAAACTTAATAACGATATAATACGAATGATGAAATTGACCTTTCGATAAAACTGATATAGATAGCTGTAAAAGAGACTACATTAAATTATATATTTTTTCTCTAGCTTAAAATTATAGTGAGATAGGTTTAAAACTTAGACCTAAAATGTAGATGAGTCAGTGCAAGACTATGATTTCCCTCGCCTGTGAGAGTGGTACTTTTTACTGGTTTGGTTTTTGTTTCAAAAGGAAAACCTGATCAACGTATTATTATTATACAATGTATAAATTATTTGATCAGTTCTAAAGCACTCCATGTGAACTTCAGGCACTACAGAGAATAGAGAAATAAACATTTAAGATATTTTACTGGGAAGAGAATGGAACCAATGTCCCAAAGCCAGGGTAGCAAATTGATCAAATCTCCATAAAATGAATTCGAAACATACAGACCGATAACATCAAACGCCCACACTAAATCTTATAATTGGGGAATTAAATAAACCAAAATGCTTTCGAATTTGTTATTATCTATCAAAATCTCATTATGACATATCAATAATAGAGGAAAATCTAACAGCGGAAAATATAAAGGCCATTAATTTTCTTAAATAACTTTCTTAAATAAATAAATAGCATGTGTAAATAGGAAAATATTGATGTGCTAAATGGTGAAAGTTAAACACAAAGCTAAAGAGAAGAGCGATAATGTAGATTGTTGGCCTCTGTGATCGATGTTGCACTGGCATTTCGTAAATTGTCTACCCTCAAGGAAATGTAATATCCCGTTACATGAGCAGTTCTCTTCATATCTTTTCATTTATCTTATTGAATATAGTGAAATTTATACGGCTACTGTACTGATACACGAGACACTACAAAAAAACACTCACATATTTCACAAGTAAGTTTCTTGCTGTGTGAATGGACCTTAACTAATTGATTGACAGTTAAACGTGTGAAGGGGTGGAGCTTAGACATTCATACACTTTATTGTACATAACTATCTTGTTTTACTTTCTGGTAGGAAGGCGTTACCCTATTCAAGTGGCGACAAGGCATGCCAATCACATAGGCTTTTCGGATGTATTCAGAGTCGAATTAATAGTGGATCAAACGACTCGATTCGATACGTTTCTACGCACATTTGGATCCTGTAGTCAGCACGTACGATGTTTTACCTCAACTGTTCATAGACACAGAGGTGATGACCCGATCCACACGTGTACATATCTCTGGCAAGCCTTAATTATTGGTGACGTCTGTTTCTCTCGTTTACCGCCCATTCTTCAAAGTTTTTTTTTCTTAATAATTTCTTATGTTGGAAGAGTTCTGAAATTTTGAACATTGTTACAATTTGGGACGTTTAACGTGATCGCAAATTGTTCTCAGCAACCAAAAAGTAGAGAGGACTGGAATTTAACCACGTGTAAGAATCTGGTGTTTAAAGTGGCCCACGGGCCTTGGTATGGCCGAGGGTAATGACGGAAAGCACGGATATCCAAATGTATCCGAACACAATGGAAAGTTGGAGATGAGAAACTGAAATTGGAGTAGAGATTGTGAAGCATCAACAAGTGATTGTATTGTATTGACTACAGTTATCATAAATAACGGATATTATATAGACTAAAAGGATTAATATTAAACATAAACAATCTGTGCTACTCAGTTAAAAAAATATATTTTGTGAAACTTTAAACGGGTACAAAGTGATCAAAATGGTGTCGTGTGAAGTGACTCGGCGATGCAGTTGGTCATTCCGACTGCAGGTGGTTATTTTGGCGGGACTGGTGTTTTTAGAAAATGTCGCCGCCACAAAATACATTAGTAACATGTTTAGTGCGCAACAAAATGCACCTGACCCATGCTATGAAGAAAGTTCCGAACCCATAAGATGTGTACCTGATTTTGTGAACGCTGCATTCGGCATGGAAGTCGTAGCTTCCAGTACGTGTGGTTCGCCCCCAAGTCGGTATTGCAAGTCAACGACAGACAAAGATGGAAAGATAATTCGTAACTGTTTTATTTGTGATGCGAATCATCCCAAACGAAAACACCCATCTAAATATCTAACAGACTTAAATAATCCCAATAACTTAACGTGTTGGATGTCAGAACCTTTTGTTCAGTATCCCAATAATGTAACCCTAACCTTGTCATTAAGTAAAAAATACGAACTAACATACATTAGTTTACAATTCTGTTCGGCGCGTCCCGACTCTATGACAATTTATAAAAGTGTTGATTATGGCAAAACTTGGATCCCTTTTCAATATTATTCTAGTAATTGCAAGAAGATGTACGGCTTACCATCTCGAGCTATTGTCACCAAAGCCAACGAACAGGAAGCTTTATGTACTGAGGCCTATAGCAACATCGACCCTTTAAGTGGGGCTAGGGTAGCTTTCAGTACCTTGGAGGGGCGACCATCAGCTTATGCATTCGACAACAGTCCTGTTTTACAAGATTGGGTAACGGCTACGGATATTAAAGTTGTGTTCAATAAATTGAATACTTACGGCGACGAAGAGAAAGATGAAGAAGGGGCCAGGGAGAGCTATTATTATGCTCTATCTGATTTTGCGGTTGGTGGCAGATGTAAATGCAATGGTCATGCTTCCCAGTGTATTCCCCAAAAGGATGGTCGTTTAGGCTGTGATTGTAAACATAACACTGCTGGCTACGATTGTGAAAAATGTAAGCCTTTCCATTTTGACCGGCCCTGGGCAAGAGCGACTGCATCTGATGCCAATGAATGTGTCGGTAAGTAACGTAAAATTTTCAAACGAAGTTCTTTAATGGTACTGTTTCTTGTCTTTTTTATTTTGACATGCTCTTTCCATTTTTTGCCATTTTCTGTTTTTTTATTTAATATTTTTTTTCTATATTATTTTTTATACAACATCATATTTTTACATTTTGCATTCTCTGCTCACTAAATACGTATCGAATAATTCACGCTTAAACTACATCAAGATGTGTATCATGAAATCCATTGTATACCCATAACATTGAATATATCGCTATTTTTTTTTAAAAGTTTCTGGATAAATGCTTACAGGTACATTAATAAGTTTTCGCAAAATTGAACAAAATGACTTTTTAAGTGATGTTGACAGCTCTACCACAAAAAGACTTGGAATTCTATGAGAAACGACAAGTGGTCGATGTGAATTTTATTGTTGTACCATCCATTAAATAAGGCATCTTTCTATTTGGTTTAAGTAGTAATGAAAGTTCACTGAATAACATGTTTTGTTAAAAATGACAGCTTAAAAGCATTTAGGATCATTTAATAACATAACTTCTGGGGAAGCAACAAATATCATTAGTACGGTTAAGAAGGAAACAAAGCATTTTTGGAAATGTTGCTGAGTCAACTATCTTGCCACTGATCACTAATTAATACTGTTGATGCACTTAGAGCATCTTCTATGACAGTTCTTATTATCCTTATCTTCTTACGGTGATATATATTAAAGGCGAGGTTTTAATAGCAGCTTTTCTAAAATGATAAGATTTCCTGCTAAACAGCCTAGAACTGTTGAAAAAAGCAATAATTGCCTACATGATAGATAAAAACTTTATTCCAGGGTTTCAATTTAATGGAATAAAACCATAAATAATACCCCTAAGATTTATTTTTCATGAAATTACGATGGCATAATTCGAAAAGTTATAAAATTGAGTTCATATTGCAGTTTGACCGTATAGAAATGGTGGGAGATTTTTAATCCATAAATTCTTAGGTTTACACTAAAGCAAGATCGCGTTGATCCTTTCGTATCTTAACGCAGATTATCTCCCCCCCCCCACCAAAATAACCCTCTTATATATCTTTTTCGCACTTAAAGTGTCAACATTTATTTAGCTAAGTAATTAATGCATTAAGTAGATCCAGAGCTGTCGAAAAATCTTAAACACCTAAAACTAAATCGACTACTGTATTATTACGTCCATAAGTTTATAATTAATCACAAAAGACAAATCCGCGAGTCGGATTAGAATAACAACTTTTTCTTGTTGATATATGGAATTATTTATGAGAAGGCTCGCATTTCCATAATACCACATTTTCTCTTAGCTTAAAAGATTAAAGCCACGTGCGATTGTTAATGAGCCAAATTAATCGTATAAACTTAATCGCCGAGCAAATTAAATACACGCGCTATTTGTATAACTGACTTTTATCTTTCTATTACGTTTATCGGTATACAATTTACATCCTCTATATGCAGTGTTGTACAAAAGAAACCTTATGTATATGGTGGTATGCATTTCTCACTTGTTCTGCCTGATCGCCAGCTCTCAATCCAAAGCCTGGTGAAAGTTTTCTGCCAAAATACACGATATTGATAACATTGAGTAGCGCTTCTATAGCTCAGAAAATGCGATCAGTTCAGCGAACCAAACGTTTACGCTATCCAATGTATGTTTATGCTATAAACTAACATTTTCAAAGTAAACATTAAATTTCCGTACAAAATAAACGACCTTTTTATATTTTGTCTATAAGGAGAATCTCGGAGACGTAGACACAAGGGTTATGTTGTATCTATATTTGTGAAATAAAAGAATATAAATTTTTTTAATTAATTTTGACAAGAGCTGAAATATATTTTTCTGCGGAAATTCCGATCTTGTGATTATTTTTTCTTATTTATTAAATATCTGCTAACATGAATACCTTTAATCACAAGCATATAGTTCTCCCCATTCAAATGAATTGCATACATTCGGTGCAAAAGTTTGAAGAAAAAATAAATATAGCATTGGTAACTATGACTGATTCTTTTGAATATACTATATATTTTATGAGATCTACAGATAAGTTTATTTATATTTAATTTAAATATATGTGAACTCAAATTGTTATTAAAGTGACGGTGTAATGTATAAAGCCCGATTCTTAAAATCTAATCATCTGAGCAGATCTTTTTAATCACGATAATGTATAACAATATCTTGATGAAATAGTGATGGGTATCTCTTTAAGCATGAAACTTTTTAGACCATTCTATAGTACATATAGACTCCGTTTAACTCTTTCAAATTGTCAAAACTGAGAAATTGAGACTAAATACATATCTTCCAGTGTCAAATATCTCTTGAGTATGATTGATTATTTCTAGACAGGAACTTAAAGGGTGTGTTTTGGCAAACAGTGAAATTGTTGAATAAAAATGATTTTATTTTTCGTTATTTTAAGAGAGATCTCTTGGGTAAGGGCCGAACGAAAGTTTGTCTGGAATACGTAACATTGAATATATCTGCATTCACATTAACATGGGGCATTTTAGGAGAAAGTTTCTCCTTTTCAGGCACACACGAGAGCGCGTTTTCACACCCTCCTTCTAAGCGTTTGGTATTTACACCCCATGAGGACATACTTCAACCTTATATCAACAAGCAAAAATGTTTGAATTTTCTTCAGTCGTCGCTCTTAGGTCTTTTCACCTGATTTTAGATGTGTTAACTATGTGCTACAAGTCTTTAATTAAATCGACCCAAAAAAGAAACTTTTTTTCTCGTCTCAGTCATTGTTCGGTAAAAGGATTTTTTTTCTCCAACAAAACCGTTACTGCCGACTGTATTTGTAATGTATACTACTATTCAACGAGCTATTCAACTCATTCACACCACCTTTATCTACCTTTGTACGTCTATTTATTTACAACTCTCTTTCTAAAGCGTCGTTTTTAGCTTTTCTCTTCACGTTTTGTATGGCGGGTTTTCAACCACCACCTTGCTCATACCGTGTCCTTCAAGAATAAAACCAAATAGTTTTCCATGTGATTAATGACTTTTTTTATCATTTACTTAACAACAGTGTCAATATTCCATTTTCAGTTTTCGTCTATATTAAGAAACACAAAGAAACAAACAGGAGTCCCAATCGAATAACTTGTTAACATTTTAGAAATAAAAATGCATGTCTACATTATAATATTTATGAAAATACATTATATTATTTAAAGCTTTCGACGTTTGTTTTGGATGGAATACTGGAAAAGGTCTAAATTAGAATTTATTGGGCAACAAGCTTTAAAAAAGTATATTCTTTGATGCTGGTTCGTATGGTGTGCTATTTAATCTTGGAAATATGCAGTTTGGCTATTACAGCATTACATTGTTACATGTACAATTGTTACATTGTTATATGTACAATTGTTATATTGTTACATCATTGGTCTTTAAAATTTAAAACGGTATCTTCAGGTCATAAACTATTGAAATAAACTAATATTTGCAGGGGCCACATTGTTGATCTTGTGACTATCATCGTTTAGAAATTCCTCATTTCTAGTGTTTGTAACCCGACTTTCAAATACGAGTATGCGAATGAGCACCGATAGAAAGATTATAAGACATTTTCATCGGTAGATCTTCTGTTATAGAAATCTCAGTTTATGACGTATTTCGAAATCCGTTATGCCCCTGTTTCACGTGGGCTACGAATGCCACGATTTGCCCCGAATCCAAACATTTTCCATTTGCAGATAAATCGTGGACGGCTCTTGAAGTTCGTGAGTGTTTCTTATTTGGCTCTTACACATTCGTATTGTTCGTAGCAGTTCGTAATTCGGCCACGAAAGTTTTTGTTCGGAATTCGTAGATGTATCGTAAACCCGCCGTAGCGCATTATAAATATACTCATTATTATTATTATTAAATATCGTAGCTTTATCGGTATCATTCTTGAAGAGCGTAGTGTATTCTTAACTGAATTCGGCATATTCGTACCAATTCGGCATATCTGTAACTCATTCGTAACTGAATCGCTTCAACTCGTAAAGATGCTTCTTTCATTTCGTAGAACTCTACCTTGACATCCGGCTTATTTTACACCCAATTACCAACAAATTATCGTAACTCTTTCGTAAACTATTCGGAAATGCTTCGTAGCTACTCCAGATTCTCTACGATGTTTTTGATTACTTTTCCGAATCGTCACGAATTTCGATTCGGCGCAATTCGTAGCATTTGTAGTCCACGTGAAAGCCAGGCGGCGTAACACTAAATAATTATTTCTGGTTTAAAGTTTTAATGGAACATTAAACAACATAGGTGTTAAAAAAGAAAACAAAATAGAGCCGTAAGAAAATAGAAGTAGTGCGACAGAATGATAGGGCGGTAATACACTGTATACACAGGTGTTTGGACGTATCCATATGTCAACTTATACTTAACTAGAAATAAATTATTCGGGTGTGATTGAAGTCGTATTGAGCTCTATTGTTATAACTATTGGTCTACCAAATACCTACACAACAACCATACACCTATCTTAGTATACAGTAAGGTGTGAACCACTGACTTATCTCATTTCTCAAAAATCTTACCCCATATCACACAGTACAACATCTAGAGTGTAGAATAGGAAATTTGTGTACTGTGGTCCTTCAAACGTGCCTTATCAAACTATCTCAATAAAACCTCGATGAATTGTGTCCATGTTTGAAGCCTATGTGTTTAGAGGAGATATCATAAATCCTCTATATGACAGTCAATAAATTTAATCGGATCTAAGGTTCATAATATAAATGCCAAGATAGTTCAGCTATATTAAAGTTTTCTCAATTCCCTTTTAGAAATGAAAAATTGTAGCGTCTATTTGTGAATAATAATCAGACAGTCGTTACAATATTCATCGATCGCAAAAGTCCCTGTCTCAAGATGATTGACAATCAGTTATTGCATTCATTCTAATAAGTAATTTATTATCTGTTTTCAAACTCTTAGGTAATAACACTTGATATTCA